GAACAGACATTTCTCAGACAAAGAAGTAAAAGCAGCAAAGAAACATATGAAAAAATGTTCAACATCACTGCTCTTTCGATGTAGGCAAATGGAAACAATTCTGAGATTCCACCTCATCCCAGAAAGAATGGCTTCTATCAAAAAATCAACCAATAACAAATGCTGACGGTGGTGTGGGGAGAAAGGAACCCCTCTCCATTGTTGGTGGGTGTGCAGACTGGTGCAACCACTGTGGAAATCAGTATGGAGATATCTCAAAGAACTAGTTTAGAGGTCCCTTTTGACCCATCTATTCCCCTACTGGGTATCTTCCCCAAAGAATTAAAAGAACCATACCACAGTGATATATGTGCACCCATGTTTATAGTGGCACAGTTTGTAATAGCTAAAGCTTCGAAACAGCTCACGTGCCCATCACCTGGTAACTAGATAGAGAACATGTGTTTTTTTTTTTTAATAAAATGGAGTACTACTCAGCCATAAAGAGTGTCTCATATAGAGACATTTAAAGCTAAATGGATGCATATTGAGGCCATACTCTTAAGTGAAATAAATGGGACACACATGTAAATACCAAATAGTTTCTCTGGTGTGAGAAACTGAAAGTGTAAACAATGATTAAAATGAATAAGTGATAATGTGATATAGGAAGAAAAGGTCTAAAGTGGTAGGGGAAGGAGGAGGGGGAGGGGAAAGGAAAAATTATGAGAAAAGGAAAAAATTGGAACAAAGTCTTTGTAAATAGGGAAGGGTGAAGTAGGAAAAGGGAAGACAGGAAATGGAGAAAAAATAAGAACCAAGATATATCAGGCAAAGTACAGGTACCCAATCATAAATGTAAATGTATTGTATACCTAAAATGTACCAATAAAAGAATTTAAGGGAAAAAAGAATTACTACAATATGAAATTAATCTGTGTCCATACTGAATATAATAAATATTTGCATAAACAATGGAATGCTGTTCATTCCCCAAATGATAATGCAATAACATGGATTTACCTGGAATACGTTGTCCTGTGTGATCTCACTCATGTGTAAAGTCTAAAATGATATCACAGACATTGAGGCTACTATAGTGGATACCAGAGACTGAGAGTAGGGTGATGGAAAGATGGAAAGAGGCTGGTTATTAGGTCCTACATTACAGTTTGATACAGGTATAAGTTCCGTGTTCTATTCACAACACAGTGACTATTGTTAACAATCCTGTAATGTTTATTTTTTTAGTGTATGTTTGCTATACATAATAATTACATTCATCTTCAGAATTAGTACATAACACATCATATTTAATCATATTTACCTTCCCTACATTTCCCTCACTACTTTACCTCCCTGAATCTTACCACCTCTCTTTTATTTTGTTCTTTAAATTATTAATATTTTGGATCTCTAACATTAGAGAAACCAAGTGATATTTACTTGTGTCTGATTTATTTCACTTACTATTATGGTTTCAAGATCCATTCATTTTCCTACAAAAGACTCAAATTTATTCTTATATATACATGCCACATTTTCTTCATTCATTCTTCTGCTGATGGCCATATAGTCCACATACATGATTTAGTCATAATGATTTCTGATGATTTAAACATAGGTATGTGTATTACAGTAATATACTGGTTTCTTTCACAAAGGTAACTAGAAAAGGTTTAGCCAGGTTAAATGGAGTTTCTAACTTTAGTTTTTTAGGAATATACATATCAATTTCCACAGTAGCTGTATTAATAGTTTACATTCCCACCAACAATATAGAAGGGTTCCTTTTACCCTCAAGCCTCACCAGCACTTTATGGTTTTTGAGTCCTTGATAATAACCATTTTTCTGGGCTAAGGTGGAATCTCAGTATTTAATTTACATTTTCCTAATGCCAAAGATGCAGAATATTTTTTCACGACTTGATGGCCATTTGTATTTCTGAAAAGTTTCTATTCATTTCAATTGCCCATTTTTTAACTTCATCTTTTATTTTTTATATTTTAATTTTTTTACTTCTTTATGTAGTCTAGATGTTAGTCCTCTGAGTAGAAAGCAAACATTTTTCTTATTCTATAGGTTGTGTCTTCACTCTGTTGGTTATGTTCTTTGTGGTGCAGAAAGTTTTAAATTTTATATAATTCCATTTCCTGACTTACAGTGCTATATCTAGTACAAACAGAGTTCTATTGAGGAAGTCCTTGTCTATGCCTATCTCCCCAAGAATTTTACTTCGTTTTCCTTGGAGCATACTTCATATCTAAGTGTGATCTATTTTGACTTTATTTTAATACAGGATGAGAGATGTGAATCTAGATTCATTCTTCTGCATGTTAACAAGTTTTTTCAGCATCATTTTTTTTAATTAAATTCTTTTATTGGTACATTGTAGATATACAACACAATTACATTTCTCATTGGGAATTGTACCTTTACATGATGCATCTTGGTTCTTATTTTTTCCCCATTCCTAGCCCTCCTTTCATCCCCTCCACCCTTCCCTATTTACAAAG